TTCTGAGTTGGAGCAGCGCCCACATCACATCAACATTATGAGTTTACCGACCTCCGCTTGCCTAGCAATGGTCGCAATGCGGGCAGGTACGTGTGAGTCGGGCCATCAGCAGCTGCGACTGCTGGCAGTCACAACGTGTTGCAGAACAGCACAGAACAATGGCAGTCAGCTCAGCGGAGACAACAGGGCACAACAACAACAAGAAAAAGAATAAAGCCTGTCTCCTAACTCTCCAAACACAACAACAACAACAACAACAACCTCTTATTGGCCACAGGCCATCGTGAGAATAAAGATTTGAAACGACGACGACGACGACAACAACAACAACAACAACAACAACAACAACAACAACAACAACAACAACAACAACAACAACAACAACAACAAAAACAACAACAACAACAACAGGAGGAAACCCTGTGTTGTTGTTGACCTGTGACTGCCAAGGAACTTGGAAAACGCTATCACACCATCAAACGGGGATAGCAGTGCGTGAAAGGCAGTTGGACAAGACCCCCACCCCCTCCTCTCTCTCTCTCTCTCTCTCTCTCTCTCTCTCTCTCTGTCTGTCTGTCGGTCGGTCTGTCTCTCATTCCAAGCAGAACTGAGCAGCACGGAGCACGTAACCAGCCAGGGCATCCACGGCACAAAAGCACACAAACAGGGTAACAGAAAAAGAAGAAGAAAAAAACCCCAAAGAAAACCCAGAAAAGAAGACAGTAGAAACAGAACACGCTGGCAAAAAAATGTGCCCTCATCAATGCCTGTCTTGCGACAAGTTTTTGCAACATACTGGAGAAACACGCACAGAAGCGGAGAGGAACAAAGAAGAGAACAAGCCAAACGAGAGAGGTGAGCATGGTGCGTGCCAAGTCCGACACCGGGCGGGGGGAAAGAAGAACGGCGTAAACCCGTGATGCATCGCGCTCTTTTCCCTCACACACACACACACACACTTGTGCGCACAGTTTTGACGCCCGGGACAGCGGTGCAGTTCCGCAAACAGACACTACGTCGACGTGTGTCTATCGGTCACGAACTAGCAACACGTTGTACGAGTGGATCCCCCAGCGCTGAGTGCGCGACTTATCGAGAGTAGCTTAGAGAGTTCAAGGAGGCATCGGCGATAAGCAGACGCACCGCACCCATGCTGAGAGGCACCCATGCACACAAACACACGGGCACGCACACACACACACACACACATCACACCACTGCAGTGGGTACACAACGCGACCCTGCTCACAGACTGCACCCAAACCTCGCAACCATAGCGAGCATGCAGGCAGACAGTCGAGAAAGCTCCAGCATATATAACTACAGAAAAGCGGCGGCCGTTGAAGGACCACGCTAGTTGTACGTCGTACAGTTTACAGACTAGAAAAGTTTCTCTTCCGCTACAAAAGAACAGCTAGAAAAATATCCTGATTTTAACCAGTGTCTCGCGTTTCTTCAGCAACACACAGTCACACCGACACAGACACACAAGCATGAATGCACACACCATCTCATGTACGCAGACTAAGACAAACCACACACATGCATGCACACATGCGCATGCGCGCACGCACACACAAACAGCATGGTACCCCAGTATTCGATGCACAATATAGAACTCCTACTGGGACCATGAAAGGATACGGTAAAGAATCCAGTCATGTGCACTGACACAAACTCAAGTGTATTCTGCTACAACTGCAGAAATGACTTCACAAAGACGTTCCTTCTGTGAGGCAAGTCTTGGTTTTACGTTTCAGCTAGCCTCCCTATACAATGTAACCCCCCCCCCCCCCGCTAACATCCAATGAACACACGCGCACACCCACCCACACACACGCCCACACGCACACACACGAGTGACACTGGCCCAAGATCAACAACAGATCCTGCCGAGCCACGGGGCACATTCACAAGCGATCATTCCAACCATGGAGCGAGAGCCTATGGCGCTCACCTTAATGTTTCGGCCACCTAAGAGTGCGCCGTTCATCTGATCCAACGCCAGCTGAGCGGCTTCCGGGCATTCATACTCCACAAAAGCGAATCCCTGCAACAAGAACACGAGTGCATGAAACCAAACCACAGGCAGACAAAGAAAAAAATGAGCACACACGCGCACACAAAAGGGACGTACGAAACGAGCGTCCACAGATCCGGAGGTTTGTCACCTAAACACTATGCTGCACTATCTCTGGCAGCCTCTTGAAGGCTATTCACACGATTGCGAACAGAAAGTGCATGTCGGCACGTAGTCATTGCAAAACCGCCGACGAGTTAATAGTCAAAACCGAACGTTTCACCTGTCCCAAACAACAAAACAACTCACATGCTCAACACATGCTCAACACATGCTCAACACATGCTAAAACACCCGCACCCCATCAGAGTGCCGTCCAAACCCAGGCACTACACACTACACCATTGCCCAACAACTAAACAGCCCACGTGCTCAACACAGACAAAAAGGCCATGCGGCTTAATCAATAAACTGAGCGCTTGAAGGGATTGATGCTTCAGCTAGCAATATTTCTTGAACACGAAACTCCTCGCAAACAACCTACCCTTAAACAAACCGGTTCCGTTGTGTGTAAAAGATCAATAATAATGGACGGTCCGGCCCCTTAACCCTTTGAGGCCCATAGTACGGATATATCCGTACCAGTGTACAGTGCATACTTTTCAAAGCGCAACCCGGCGTAACTCGGCTGTCCCTTGACCGAATCGGACAATCGAAAGGGCTATCGACATTAGAATTGTCTCAGCTATCGGCTCGAAAAAACCCGAAGGCGATCCGAGGTCGGAGAGCGGTGATACGAGACTCGAACTAAATTCGCTCAGCAGAGTCAACTCGAGCACGTGCATTTTGAACTCGTTTTTAGGGGATTTCCCTGACTCGTGGCCCACGCAACTACAGATAGTTCACGTCATCGCAAAGGCATGTTTCTCAGCTCTCCAGTAAACAAATTTGAGCGATCTGCGATGCAATTTGTTGAAATGGCAGAGAATTTGAGTTGGGCGCTCGCAATGCTGGCTTTGGAGCGCCGTATCGCGCTGCGGCGCTGGTTCTGTGCATCGAGTGATGGATTGCTGGCTATCGCTGTGTTCCTCTGGCCAAGAGCTTTCCAGAAAGCCCAAGATCACCAAAATCGGCCAAAGGACACCAAAGTTACGACCAGATAAGTAACTGGGCTCGCGTATGCAGTGCATTTCTTGAAATAATTGTGGGCCCTAAAGGGTTAAGCTGTGTTCCCAACTGGCGCGTGGACGCGGTATGCTTGCGGTTCATGCGTGCCCAAACGCGCGCTCAAGCTTTCACAAAAACAGAGCAATCCGAGTCGTATTTAGCGCGTGCGACACCTTCGAGTACTAATTTTTTGACCCCGCCAGTCAAAGTGACTGGCATGTACGCTGGTACGCGCCTGATACGCGCTGAAAATTCCAACATGTTCGAATTTCCATTTCGGCGCGTTCCGTACGCATGGTGCCCCAAAAGCCAGCAAAAATACGCACAAACGCGTGGTTTCACGCGTACACGCGCCAGTTGTGAACACAGCTTAAGGCACCAGGACCAATACAGTACCGTCCAAACCCAGGCACTACACGCTATACCATTGCCCAACAACAAAACACCTTACAACACATACTAAGACACCGGCAGCCCATTACAGCGCTGTTCAAAGTCCAAACCCAGGCACCGGCGGGCACCACTCACCTTGTGCTTCATCGTGACGTTGTCCCAGGCCAGGTCGATGGACTTGATCGGTCCAAATGGGACAAATGCTTGCCTAACCTGGTCTTCACGCATGTCAAAGCTAATACTGCCCACATACACTCTGCATGGCGCCAGACAACAACAACAACAACAACAACAACAACAACAACAACAACAACAACAACAACAACAACAACAATTATCTCTTATTGGCCACTGGCTATCGTGAGAATAAAGATTTGAAACAACAAGAGAAGAAGAATGGATGAACCGTACAAACACGAGCAACAGGACAAGCAATAGAGACAGTAATGCCAGCAGTACAAGCACCTTCGCCGCTGTTGGAACCGCCACTAGAGCCACCGCTGTCACAACCAAAGCCACAAGCGGACTCCCCCCCCCCCCCCCCCCTACACACATATACACACCACCACCGAGAACACCACCACAAGTCAACAATCAGACAATGCTGAAAATATCCCCCCCCCCCCCCCCCCCTCAGGATGGGCAACATGCTCTAGCATTGAGTTCTTTCAAAAATAATAGACCACTGGGCTTTTTCACACCTGATTTAGAACAAATTAAACTAAAAAGCATGATTCTAATTCAGCCAGAAATGAGTTTAGAAAGCAGCGAGTATGAGTGTTTAAAGTGCAGACTTTACTCGGGGGAAAACACGTGACTCACCTGCACATGAGCTGGAAAGCACGCTGCCTCTGGGCTGTCTCCTGTACCATCATAACCTGCAGGTAGTATGACACAGTCATAGTGAGGGCAAAGTCACGGCAAATAATATATTTTCTTCTTCTTCTTCACATTATGTGTACAGCAAAAAAGGGCCAATTTCATAATTCAGTCAACTGTCAAAAACATTCCAAAAGCGCTTAGACGCATTCTCATCAGTAGATTCATAGGAAAAAAAATTAGAACCATCCGATATACTAGTAATTCATTTCCGTCTGATGACCGAACGAGTAGCCTTAAAACCCCGACAATAACAACGGTATGCACTCGGATGGAGAGGCAAGGATTAATTGACGGTTGTGCTAGTGGACACTATAGCGTAACTTGTAGTTCCTTGGTCCTTTTTCTTTTCTATAAATAACACCGGAATTAATTATTTAGCCTAGTTCCATTGCAAACTTGTGTAATATCCGATACAGTCAGACCTCGCTTACAGAAACCGCACACATCCGTTTTCCACGAAAATATCCGGATAGGCGAGGAAACCGGATAATCGAACACACATACAGCATGTATGCATGGTATTTGTTGTAAATCGGTAACCAACGATTTTCTTCTGGATGGCGAGGGATCCGGAAAAAGAGGACCGGATAAAAGAGGACCGGATAAAAGAGGACCGGATAAAAGAGGACCGGATAAGCGAGGTCTGACTGTACTATGTACAATACTTTCACAGAAATTATTCAAAAGCTCAAACATCAGTTTGACAGAAGTAGTAAGGTATGCCAGCGTCAATGGCTATATCAACATGCTGATGTGTGTGCTTCCCTTGCGGCGGGCCCACATGATGCATGGTGTGTGTGAATGTGTGTGTGAGAGAGAGAGAGAGAGAGAGAGAGAGAGAGAGAGAGAGAGAGAGAGAGAGAGAGAGAGAGAGAGAGAGAGAGAGAATGTTGTTCATAGCCCCTCACCCGCTGTATGTGTGGCGCCATGGCTGCTTGCTGCTGAGCCGCTTGCGTCGCTTTCTGTACGTGAAAGGAAGAACAGACGAACACACGCACGCATGCACCCACACCCACGTACACATGCGCATGCGAACACACACACACACACACACACACACACACACACACACACACACACACACACAGAGATACACAAACACAGATACACACACAAACGCACAAGCATGCACTCAGAATTTTACAATCTCATCAGAAGTAGCGCACCTGGTGCAGTCTACAGGGTGTATTGGTATGTCGGGTCTTTCACGGTTGGTCGTGGATCTGATCTACTAGTACTCAACTCCGCTGCATTTTTGCATCTTAACTAGTACTCAACTCCGCTGCATTTTGCACCTTTATCCTTGAGGGAAGTGGCATTCCCATGGATGAGAAAACTCAGTCTGACTAGGTCCTACGCCAACCGTGGTTATTTAGCAGCACTGGTACCTGTAACTTACATATGTGTGAATATCAAAACAGTACGTGCAAAAAAATCTCTATCATTTTCATTTCCCGACGAGTCTTTGTTTCGAAACGAACGCCGAGTAGCTGTAGCATGACCCAAGGACTGCTGCACAAACTATCCACGAGCCCTACTGCTATCCAGTACCCACACTCGACAGACCCTCGCCAGTTCTAATCTAGAGAAATACATACGTGTTGCGACGTGATTTCAGCGCATTTCGCCTTGGCAAGGATCACTCGCTGCTGCTGAGTCTGGGAAAACTCCGCCAATGGCCGCTGCATCTTGACCTGCACTTTAATCTGAAGGAGATATGGCTATATCTTTTACACCAGAACTGCACGTTCAAAGGAAGTAAAGATCTCACTAACTGAGTTCCAAAACTCGCTGATACAGTGATACTGATAGGAACATGTAGTACAGTGTATCTTGGACTGGAAGTAAGTTGAAGTGGAAGTCTTCAAAAGCTCAACAAAAAAGGCCACAAAATTTTGTTTGTCAACGCGTTAACGCTGCACGTGTACGTGTACGCATACGCGTATACGTGCAGGGAGTCGTCAAATACCGACTGCATGCACATGCATGCCCAACATGTACATACGTGAAAAACTCGTCAAAAATAATACTACCGGCGCGTACTGCATACTCGACCTCGTACTTGACGTGACGCCATTTTCATTTGTGCGTGCGCTGGGCCGCGCCGCTAGCTCGCTTTTTTTGTTTTTTTTTGTTTTTTTGAGTGATCGTGACTTTCGCTTTTTTTGGCCGGGCATTGCGGCCGCGCGCCGCGCGGGCAAGCCTAGCCTGACGTAATGCTGACATCTTCTTTCCTTGAAAAAAATGAAAGATGTTGCTGTTTTGAAAAAATGAAGCAGAGCTGAGGTGGATGAGGTGCGCAAGTGAAGGGAGCATTGAATTTGATCATGGCCTTCTTGTTGCGTGCAGGAGGCCTCGCAAGATCCTGTACTGTAGCCGGTCATCGAGGATTCCATGTCCTGGCAAGTCGCTCTCCCACGGTTGCAGTGGCACCGTCACTGCTCCAGACTGCAGCCCGAAAAAACAGTATTGTTGATCATTCATTTGCACAATCGCGACGCCACTGGACAAGCTGGCTCGGGGGTTCTAGCTCTACCACGCCAGTGCCGACAGTGTCAGAGGCTGGTGAGGACTTGAAGGATCTATCGCCGTCGTATGGAGCACTGCAGGACAGTGGTGATAAAACAGCGTCAGCTTTAGATGCGGTGGGCAATGTTTCGTCCGCCAATGCTGTTGAAGCAGCATCCGAAGCGGCGGTCACGGCCGCGGATTCCGCTGCCAGTGCCGCGGCGCCGGTGGCGGCCAAGACAATGCTGAGCGGTCCGTCGCTGTCCAGCTCTGCCTGGTACTACCTGCCTATGGCCAGCGTGCAGGCGTTTGTTGTCTACTTGCACACGGTGCACGGCCTGCCGATCTGGGCATGCCTAGGTGCTGTTGCCATTACTCTGCGTCTTACACTCGTACCCATACAGGTATGTATTGCACACAGCGGCACAGTGTAGACTCGGATCGAGAGCTAAGAATAAAAAATTAAAAAATTAAAGGGGAAGTGCATCGATTTTTCAAGTAGGACTCAGATGAAAGACACTTTGATATCGGTTTGAATGGCATACTGTACAAGCAGAAATATTCGTCTGGAATTTAATTTCGTCTTTTTCGTCCAAGGAGCTTTGGGACTAAATGAAATGCCTGACGAATGTCAATTTGTCCAGCGTTTCAATACACTGTTATAGTCCATGGACTAAATTTTCAACCGGACGAAATCCCTTTCTTTGGAGTTGGACGAAATTATTGACCGACGAAATTTTCTGCCTGTACAGTATCTCCATGTAGGCATACGATAAGCCAACCTCTCCAAATTGCCAATTTTATGATGTGCCATAGCGACCAATGCAGTGATTACGTGCGATCGGCTTAGTTCCGCCAGAGAGAAGGTCGATCACTCCAGAATTTTGTCATTTTCAATAGTGCTATTGTATTCACGGTCTGAAAGAAGTGCTGTGTTCAATGCTGTTAGTGCCCTGAACTGTTTACTAGTAGTCCTCTCAGTAATGAGTTGTGTACTGTGACATGACACCGACAGGAGAAAGCTGGAGTGCGGAGACATCACCTGACAAGCGAAAATAGCGACAAACCAAGTGCAGAAATCTTGATTGGGACAAACTAGACGTTCAGCATTTACCCCAACCAAAGACCACGCAGTTTGCTCTTTCCACTTCCTGAAGATGGATGTGATGCTTGCTGGCGACTCTCCTATCTCTCGTAACATCTTCTGAAGCCAGGTGAGACGGTGGGTGGTGGAGATTGACGAACGACATAATGTAGTACTTTTTTGAAAGTTCGCTGAAAATTTCTCAGGAGAGAAGGCGATAGTACCAAGCATCTTCTCCGAGAGGAACCATTTCCTAGGCCACAGTCAGCCTCGGGAAATGCAGGAGAAGGCCGATAAACAGTTCACGGCACTAACAACATTGAACACAGCATTTCTTTCACGTCGTGAATACAACAAGACAATTGAAAATGACCGAATTCTGCGGTGATCGACCTTGTCTCTGGCGGATCTAAGCCAATCACACGTCATCACTGCGCTGGTCACTATGGCAACGTATATCATACAATTGGCGAATTTGGCTTATCGTATCGTAAGGTTAACTTAAGGACCAAAGGTTTAGGGGCCGTCCATAATTATTCACGAAGAGAAAAAGTTTCGTTTATGGGTGGGTGGGTTGAGGAGAGTTTCGTTTTGAAAATGATTGATAGCTGAAAGCCTGAAACGTCAATCCATTCTAGCTGTCAAGTCAACATATTTTTCGTTGAAGGGGGTGGGTGAGTGGGGGATGGTCGAACCTACTTGAAGTAAACTTTTTCATTCCGGGAATTTTTTGATAATCCAGATGGCCCCTTTAAAAGGGGACGTTCGTTTTTCATCTACGTGTTTCGAGAGAAACCAATTCTTTCGGTCACGGGAGGATGTGTTCTTTTTTTTCCTACCCCAAACGGTAGATTCTATTTTCCTCTACCGGCTCTACCAGGTTTGAGGTTGGTAGAAGTCGGTAGAAGTTGGTAGTGGTACAGTATTTCTACATTTGTGTGATCATGAGTGCTGGTTTCCACAGAATACTCTAATTTCAGAAATTTCTGGTGCTCAATATTTTCGGCATGAGGGCAACAGACCAGGTTAGGTGAACTGAAATTTTCCGTACAGAGAAGCAGTTCCCTATTGGATTATGTGTGTTAGTGTTTGTTCGGTGTTTTGAAATTTTAGGTACAGGTGGAATCCTGATAATTCGAATATGGCTTAATTCGAACATACCGCTTAATTAGAAGTTTTTCCAGAACCGATTTCTATCAATGCGATTCCCACATAAAAAATTTTGATAATTCGAACCTCGAACTGGACATGTCCAGTTAATTAGAAGTCCCACAGATTCCACTTACCTAGAAAATGTGTGGGATTTGTGCTGATAATTCGAAGCTAGCAAAGTGTAATTCGAAGTTCACTGTACACTGTACTGGTCGGTTCAGTTTGCATGAGCAGGCTGCGCCGTTCAGTTCAGTGTCCGTAAAATTTGTGTCTAGGGTCCATAGCGCAACTCTGCGTGACCATGAGAGCATTTTGACATACATATTGAGTTGTGGGTTCATGTTTGGATAATTAGAATGTCCGGATAATTAGAAGTTTTTTCCTGGCATTTTGAGGTTCGAATTATCAGAATTTCACCTGTATGAAACAACAAAACAGACGCACCGAAAGTACCGAAAATAAAAGTACACCGAAAATTTGGGAAATTACAGTATTGTGCATCGTTTTGTAAATGTTGCAATAAAACTTTACTAATTTCTTCGGAATATTGCTCAGGCAGCTCCCGGAATTTTTCTCATAATATAGTCATAGATTTCTAAGCGATTGGAAAACAAACACCCAATTTCGGAAATTTCATGCACAAAGTCGTCACAGATTTTATGTGATATACTTAGTAGATGCTGGCCTAGCGGTTTTTTGAAACCAGAGGTCTGGACTTTTGAAACACATTATAGTGGTGGTGTCTCGTTCGGGAACGGCAGCATCGGCAGTACGGTGTAGAGAGAATCGAGAAGTGGAAAAGGCAAACCAGACATGCAGCTACTAGAGTGTGCAGTTTCACACTGTGCCAAGTTGCAATTGTGCAAAGGTGTAGGCGCTTGTCCTGATCCAAAGGCGTAGGCGTTTGTCTTGATGGCACGCACGCGCTCACACACCACACACACACACACACACACACACACATGCTCTCTCTTTCTGTGTGTGTGTGTGTGTGTGTGTGTGTGTGTGTGTGTGTGTGTGTGTGTGTGTGTGTGTGTCTCTATCTCTCTCTCTATCTCTATCTCTCTCTCTCTCCCTCCCTCCCTCAACATTTGTGTTCTCTTCTATCCTCTCCCATTGTGCTGTGTCGTACCAGATACAGATGCTGAAGTGCGGTGTAGTCCTCCAGAACCACATGCCCCAGCTGAATGCTCTGCAGAGCCGTACGCTGATGGCCACTAAGAGGCACGACGACGAGGCAATCAAGAGGCTGAAGGCCGAGGCCGACGGTCTCTTCAAGAAGATGGGCTGCACGCCGTGGACCAGCCTCCGTTACTCCACCATGATGATGCCGTTCCAGGTGGCCTGCTTCTTTGCTATCCGTGACATGTGCCTGGGGCTGGCGGCCACCTCGCCGGTCAGCATGCAGACCGGCGGGTTCTTCTGGGCGCCAGACCTGACCATCCCGGACCCGTACTTCGTCATGCCCGTGCTCCTGTCCGCCGTGTTCCTGACGGCCGTCATGCTGGGATCTGAGAACGGCATGCGCCCGACCGGCTGGATGAAGCACTTCCTGATCGGCATCAGCATCGCCGGGGCAGGACTCACCTCGCAGTTCCCGATGGGCCTGCAGATCTTCTGGCTGTTCAACATCTCCATGGGCGTTTCGCTGTCCAGGCTCTACCGGTGGCCGTCCGTTCGACCTCTGCTCGGCATGCCAGACATGGTCGAGCACCCGGACGGTGTTGTTAAGCCCGGCATCAACCTGGAGCAGATCCGCGAGTTCTTCACCTCGCCGTCCGGCCCGCCCGGCAAGTCGGCCAGCCAGGAGGAGCGCATGAAGTTCATCGCCAAAGGCCTGGAGGAGAAGATGAAGGAGGACGCCAAGCGGCGCCAGAAGACCGCGCACCGTTTCAAGGGACTCGACGAGGGCCTGACGGCGGCACGAGGGCGACAGAGCTCGAGTCGCAAGGACAGCGGATAGGCTACTAGTGACACGCTGCTGTGAACTAGCCGAGGAGACAATGCCCTCATCCGACCTTCAGTGATGTTGTCTAAGGGCTGCACCGTACCCTGACGTCTAAGCTATCTCCGTGGCCACACGTTGACCTCTGACACTTGGTGGCGGCGCTCACATCGGACTGGGCTGCCTGTTGGAATGCGCCGATTTCCGATGGCGCATCCCTGCAGTTGCGGTGCCGAGTAAAACACAGGTGGCACTGGTGCTTTTTACTGGTGAACAGATCTGCTGCCGTCGTGCTGTGCTTACTGGTCGATGCGTTGGTGTTGTTGGTGGTGGTGGTGTTGTTGGTGGTGGTGTTGTTGGTGGTGTTGTTGGTGGTGGTGCCGTGAAGCCTTTCCATCCAGTGTGAGCTGACGACTCTTTGCACCGTTCTCACATTGGTGGTGTGGTGAGTTCTCAGTCTGCTCACCTGGCGACATTTATCTTTCATAGTACGGCCGGCCGTGGCAATACGACAAGTATTCGCGTCTGAATGTGCCGCTCCTTGGCCTGGCGTGCATTTTTACCCGGCCAACTAGTGCTGAGTGGCGGGTAAGCCCTGCTCGTCTGACCCACCTGTCCCGTCATGTGTGGTAAGCCCTGCTCGTCTGACCCGCCTGTCCCGTCGTGTGTGGTAAGCCCTGCTCGTCTGACCCGCCTGTCCTGTCGTGTGTGTGTACCCGGCGGCGGCGGGGTTTCCGTCAATTTGTATCCTGTCGTTTTCCGGTGCTGCTACTGCTGCTTCTGTCTCCTTTTCATGCCCCAGCTACTTCTTAACAGCTACTTCTTGCCCGTTTTAAAGCGTCGTTTGGACGCATTTGTTTTTGCCGAGAGCACGGTTGTTTGTGTGACCGTGCTGGTTTTGTATTTTCTCAGACTTGGAATTAGGAATTAGTGCATGCCCGCCGCTCACTCTCTTTCTCCCTCAGGCATGCTTGTGCCCAGACAGCAGTCCTGGACTGGTCTCGTGTTCGGTCGGAAAAACCCGAACCCAATCAGCAGGCGACGACGATGGCGACGACTGCCGTTATTATTGTATTTATCGCTGTCCGCTTTCGGCGCCCTTACAAAGCAGTTTCTGTCACTCGGGGAGCTCTCTTCTCTCCGATCTATCGTTCTCTTGTTCAATCTCGAGCTCAGCTATTTTGCAGGCGAATCTCCTCAGTCTCTGGTCTCTTGTCTTTAACCAATATGCTCTCTCTTGTTGTGTCTACAATAGTAGTTTCTATGCCCTCCTTGGCTTCCCTCACCTGCGCTTTCTCAATGGAATAATAAAGAGACGGTTACTTTGTGCACAAAGGTGCACTACATCATGGTAGTATGTACAGTAAAGCAGGTCTGTTGACTACGCTAACTTGCCTGTACTAAAAGTACACAGTCTTTTTGTGACTTTGGACCAGGGAGTCGTAAAATACCGGTATTTTACGACTCCCTGCTTTGGACGTATCGTTACGGTATGCTGTGTTCCTTCCATTGCATGTTGCCATTGTTTCATACTGGTCACCTGTTCTGTTCTGCTGCAGTGTGTGTGTGTGTGTGTGTGTGTGTGTGTGTGTGTGTGTGTGTGCGTGTGTGTGTTCAGGGATTCACTGGCCAGAAAAAGACACTTCAATCCGCTGTGTGGTGGATACCAGGCTAAAATTAGAGGCGGTCAATTCATCAGCCTTGCAAGCTGTTGAATGGTGTAATCCCAGCACTAGTTGCTATGTCTAACATACATGTAGCTGTTCGCTATAGTATCATTCGCTTCTGCGATGGGCAGGTGTGAGGTGTGTGTGTGTTCTGCTAGTGGTGGTGCTGGTGTCCGTGCTAGTCAGGGGCGGATCCGATAGGGGGGGGGGGGGGGGGGGGGGTCTGCAGAACCCCCTAGATTTTGCAAATGTGCGCCTGGAAACCATTATGCATGCACATGTACCAGCTGCTCAGTTTTGGCTAAGCTGGAGCTCCCCTGTACTGTACTGTACTGTACTGTACTGTACTGTACTGTACTGTACTGTACTGTACTGTACTGTAGAGATCTCTGGATCCGTCACTGCTATAGTAGTACTGGTGCCAGTTCGGCAAAGCTCATGTTTTGTCTTTAGAGAATGGTGCCATGGTGTCAGTTATGGCCATATTGGTGAACACAGCCTTGCACCACACACGTATGCCATGCCAAAGCACCCGGTATGGCCGGTCGACCCGATCCGACCGGTCCAGCCTTGGCCGGACCTTATTTCGAAAAAAGTGACCCATGGGGCCCTAACAATTTGATTACGGGATCTCTTGTTGTTTTCCCTGTTTATAGTTTGGGCATACAGTATTTTACTATCGGCAAGAGTACATGGGTTATGTGTTCTTGGTATTGGATTGGCATACGCCTCTCAGGAGAAGAAAAATATTAAATGAAGGAAAAGAAAAAAATCGGCTCACGACGAAGATGGGATTCGAACCCACGCGGGCAGAGCCCAATGGATTAGCAGTCCATCGCCTTAACCACTCGGCCACCTCGTCAGCACGTGAAGGGAATCCTTCAACCTCGACCATTCACCAATCCTCAGCGGCCTAGGCCTACTAATACCGAGTTCGCACTACTGAGTCAGAGGCTGTGGTTGGAAATGGAATCGATGCCGCCGGACTTCGAGCCAGAGATGGCCGGCCATGTTCAGTCAAGCTTTCGAATGACGACCACGGATCGCGGATGCACATGTATGGGCAACAACCCGAGAAAAACTATCCTCAGACGAGGCCTTTGCGGATAATGCCGGCAGAAAAATTGGCAGAATTCGGTACTGTTTCTGGTAAGTTTCATGCATGTTTGGTATGTGGATAAAGAAATGGAGCAGAATTCGAGGAATTGCCCGCCATAAGGTTTGGATGGTTCTGCCAATTTCACTGCTTTTCGGGCAGAATCTGCCACCTTTTCGAGCGCCAATGCCTACCTCAGACCTACACGATGTACGAATCGATGCCACCGGCCGGACATCCGTATCGGCATGCTACTCCATCCAGCCCAGCCTCGTTCTACATTGTACTGTATGTACAAAATGGCCACAGCGCATCAGGGCCACCAAGCAGTCTTGGTCCAGTGGAGTCAGCTTGCTGAGCCCCCTCTACCGGATGCCGGGCGAGCGCTGTCCGCTCTCCCTGGACCCAGAACGTCGCGGCGTCCACCACCATGGTCCGCCATTCCAACCGGTTAACCGTCCACTACACTGCTCTGCCTGCATCCGCACAGACAACACGTTTTTAGAACAAACAGCTACTACATGTATACTAGCCCTTGGCGGTTTATGCTCGGTAAATTGCTGAACTATGCTATCCTTGTGACCAAGGTATGCCAGTGATTATGCTACATTATGCTGGAATTATGCCAATGATGGTGCCTATACTATGCTACGATCCTATCTAATGGTCTGATGAACTCAGTACAAGCAGCCCTTGGCGGATTATGCTCGGTAAATTGCTGAATTCTGCTTTTCATTATGCCCAAATTTTGCCAGTGATTATGCTACATTAATATGATGGAATTATGCCAATGATGGTGCCTATATACTGTACCTTTGCGACGTTACAACGACTCTGGCTCCATGACAGCACGCCCCTATACGGGGTAACATTCACCAGGTTATTTCCGGTAACATGCCTAAATCATAGTATTCCTGCAGCATTTATCTTCAGCCAGCATAGCATCGTATGCCGACCGTCTGGTCTCAGAAGTCCTTTTATGCCAGGGCATGATTTTTAGACAAAATCCGAAGTTTACGCCAGAAATTATGCCTGCAAAATCCGCCAAGGGCTAACAGCAACTAGTACTTACTTACGCGGCTGTTATGTCGGAGGCAGTGTGGTGCTCGGAGTGACCTCGGACCAGGTCCGGTACTCGGTGGGCATGTAGTGGTCACATACAGTGTAGTTGTAAACTTGTACAGTGCTGGCAACTGAAATCCGCCGCGCCGCCCAGGGGTCGGATTTCAGTTGCCAGCACTGTATCATTGTATGAGGTTTGGTGCGATGGATCGGTCAGGCAAGACGGTGCAGGTGGAGGTGGATATGTCGTTTTTTTGGTATTGCATTTTATTCCTTCAAGTACGTACTATACTAGTACAGTGTACTTGTATTTCTTTAGGAATACTGTCAACTTCGCTAATAACGACTGCGGATATAACGACAATTCGCGAATAACGACATAATTTTCATGCCCAGAGCAAGGTCCCATCCAACTGTGACACATATAATGAGACTTCGGGTATAACGACACTTCGTGAATAAGGACACTTTTCTGATGCCCCGCCGAGTGTCGTTATAAGCGAAGTTGACTGTAGGTTTGCTCCCACACTGGAGCTCGCGCTACTCCGCCGACTTGACTTGACACTTGACTCACTGACGACTGCCATCCAGAGCACACGAGAAGTCCAACGAACCTTCGACTCGGCATTCGGCAAACCTGCAAGAAAGCACCACTCCCTGCTCAATACACAGAGAAGGTTCGTTGGACTTCTCGTGTGCTCTGGATGGCAGTCGTGAGTCAGTCAAGTCAAGTCGGCGGAATAGCGCGAGCTCCAGCGAGGGAGCAAACCCATTCCTAAAAAATCATCGCCGAAGTCGCAACCACTATTCGGTACACGTGTACTTGTATTTCACTTGGGCATTCCCAACAGACCCTAAGGTGTTCTTACATGATGCCCAAGATGAATGAATGTGTTAAAAGTTCCTGGCGAAATGAATTGGAAATATGATCAGTGCGAAGGGATTCCGGGAGCGCGTTAATTTAAACGTGTCGTGCTATCTCGAACTCGCATGCCAGAAGCTCAATCAGCCCGGGAAGTGATTTCCGAGAGCTGTCTGGCCGATGTCTTCGCGACGGTATCTTTGGCCTGCTGTGCTGCAACTGATGGCTCATAGTCATAGAACGAAGTGATAAAGATGTCTTTGAGTTTATGGCAGAGGCTGCAGCTGTGACTGTGGCACTGACGCGCCTCGACAACATTATCGTAGAAAAGGAGACGCAGATCGAGACCACACCTGCGATCTCATTATCGTCACCAACAGCCGAGCTCTTGTTGACACCGGGTCCAGACAGATCCCTGCTGTATCATGTCCAGATGCCATCCCGGCGTACAACGCGCTGCTAGCATGCTGCATGCTGCTATAATATTATTATTATAGTACACAGGGCCTATAATAGAGATAAGACCAAAAATCCTTCTCGTGACTCCGAGTTTCGTGTTTCCAAAAGCACTCATCAGACGTGTTTTTGGAAACACGAAACTCGGAGTCACGAGAAGGATTTTTGGTCTCTGTTGTTCTGCCCTGTGTGGTAAGCTCTGCCCCTTTTTGAGGTATTGAGCACTGTTTGCAGCAAAGACTACAGACACTTTGTGTATTATTATAGTAACATGTATGTCGGCGCTCACCATGCATCCACTTGTGGGTGAGCAGCCGCCACTGCACGGTAGCCTCCTCTACATTATAGTATTTATACAACGACCTCGCAGATCGCCTTGATCTTGAAAACGCTGACACGGGCATGCAGCGCTGCGGCAGGATGTAGCTCTCCCCAACCGGGCCACCAAAGCTTGCATCCAAAAAAAGGACTGCGGAGATCGAGATCTGCCGACTCTCACGTCTGGACAGCTAGCCGCAAACTTGTCACTGACCTGACAAAGAAGAACACGGCCCCACTCAACCAGCTCCTGACCGATCATTGCCCACTTCTCAAGTCAAGCAGTACCTGTACAAGAACTCGGCTGAACATTCACCAGATCGCCAACTAACATAGTATGTCATCTGGGGTGGCCAAAGCGGCATCAAAGCCAGATATAAGAGTGCTACCGCGAGAATCGCAGCGAGCTTTGCACGAGGGCCCGTAACTAATTAGTTGGACAACCAGAAGAGAATGCTCAAGCCAGGGCTAGGGAGCGTCAACCTCAGTCTCCGGACAGCTGCTCTGCTGTTTCGTTAGGTCACCTTGATATGACTGACCAGCGGAGTGGACGGTCCACTTGGCGCCAATTCACACCGACGTCGCGTGCGATCGTGGAGCCGCTCAGTCTACAGCGTACAATCCGTCTTGCATGTGAGGCAGAGACTGGATCAGTGAATAGTCTAGTATTCGGTCTAGACCACCAGACACCAGGGAGTCGTACAAACCCACATCCTGGTCTGGAGTATAATCTACAATCAGTCATGAGTCATTATTATTATTATTGACTGGTTTGAGGGAAAGAGACAAACGGGAAAAGTCTGAAGAAAAAATTGACTGTCACCACCAGGACTCGAACCAGGGACCCTCGCTTGTAGCCAACGATGCTCTAACCACTGAGCTATGGTG